TTTCTCCCACAGTCCGAAGACATGCAGTTAGTTGGGTTAGGTATCTAACAGCGATCTGTCCAGGGTGTACCCAGCTCTCGACCTATGGTAGCTGGGATAGGCTACAGCGACCCTGACAAGGATAAGCAGAAGAGAATGGCTATATGGATGTTAAATCTACACAGTGGCTACGTTCTAAGCACAAACCCGTACGAAACTCTACACCATAACCTATGATGTAACTGTAAACTCCCTGGAAAATTAACTAGATTGGGCGTTGACACAGCCCACAATTATTGTCACTGCTGCTTTTTGTCCTACAGTTTTTGATTATCAGTGAGAGAGTAATAATCATAGCCTCAATATAAGGACTCACAGATGTCAGCTAATTCCTGGAGGGAGATTGCCCAAACTATTGGAATGACACAGAAAAACGTGAGGGACACATGTGTTTGCTTCCAAAAAATGAAAGACCACAACAAAGACTGGGGACACTAACATATAACGAGCAACTTAGCAAAGAACCAATTTTAAATTGCATCTTTGGGCATTTTGTTACTAGCAGCCTCTCACAAAAACATGTAAATTGTTCCCACTTCTTTAGCTGAATTTATGAAAAATGCTAAAGATAAGGTGATTCCCAACAAGCAATCATCCAAAAGCTTGGCATATCTCTGCACTGTATTGTTAATTAAAGATGAGGGAACTGGACAAGTGAAGGACAAAAGAAGTGGCTAGGAAAAATCTAAAGAGACATGATACAGGACCTGACGGATGCATGTGCACCTTCAGTAGATAAATCTAATATTTGTTGAAGCCCTATCAGAAATGTCTCAACAAATGGGTGGTTGTCAAAAAAGAAGAGAAATGGTGATAAAGCTGCTATATGCCACGTTATCCTAGAACATTACGGAAGCAGTGCAGGATTATCCTGACAGGGATTGTGTGGGGGAAAGGCAGCCAACATCCAAAAAAGAGCTTTAAACGTCCTTTAATAAGCCCAGAAAACTTTTTGTTAAGACTCTTTGCATAAATTATAAGAAAGCTTACCTAAACCAAAGGCAATCATACCCAATATTGACTTTAAAGCTCATTACAATTGCACCAATAATTGCAATAACTGTCCCTTCTAAGTCAATTGTTTATATGCATGATTTACTCTTTGTCCCCCTCATGTTAAGAATTATGTAAAATGATATTAAAAGTAATTAAAATAAAACAAAATTCTATTGATCAACAATTCACAATACTAAAACTTAAGCTCACGGCTTAAATTTATAGATTTTCCATAACCTGTCTGCATGCATATGTCACAAGAGAAAAGACGGTGCAGATGCTGACTAAGATCACAACATTGTGTGTCGGGCAGAGCTATGTTTCAACTCATGTTTTGGGAGTAAAAATTGTCTGTCATCAGACCCTAAAACAAGAGTCATTGCGACAAAGCATTTATAGCTTTTTATTTTTCTAAAAAAAAAAAAAAAAATGTTGGGTTATGTCTTTTCCGTCTGTGCTTCAGTTCTAAAAGCAGCAGATCAACAGTCTTGCATGTAAAGATCTGATGTTCCTAAGGTCTTGGCAGAGTGGTGCCTTTGGCTTTGAAGTGAATGCAACTTTTCCAAAGGGGTATTTTAGCAACTTGAAGTGCAAGACTGAGTTCTTTGTGTGAAACTACCTGTATCAAGCATTAAATTACACAATGACGTTTTATGTAAGCAAGTTGGAAAGAAAAAAAAATTAACCGAGACTCTGACTGTATTAAAACGTATTTTGCAAAGTAACACCTGAAGCATCATCTGCAGATGCAGAGAGGTTGCACTTCTCAGTTATTAGACACATTGCATGAAATGAATAACGAGGCTTCTGCAACACACTGTATCATTACTGTGTGTTATAGTCAGCTGTTGTTAAAAAAAACACACCAAATGCTGTACATAACTATGATTAATGGAGTGGTATGTCGATTTGGGCAGCATTTGAGTCGGTATCATAAAGGAAACTGTCTCAAACGTAATCGAGATTGGTCACTGCGTACAGTCTAATCACACTGGCAACAGTGAGACTTAACAGTTGACCCAAATTGAATTTTTATGTCAGATCTTACAAAGTATCTCAGATAGTATATTGTGGTTTCCTTAATTTATCTCAAGTGGATTGATTTTTGTTTAAAACTCAGCTTCCTCATTATATTAAATCTCCCTCTATACTATGTTAATGGGCTGTAATGAAATAAATGATGGACAGCGGTCTGCTTTAGCATTCCTCCTTTGTCTATTTTCCGTATTTGGTTTTGGAGGTTAGGAATCAGAGTTAAATGTCAAAGAAGGAGGCAATTTAACTGTCCCTGAAGCAGTTTTCAAAAACCAAGTAATGCAAACCAGGCGCCTTAAGATTTCCCTCGTCGGAATTTTAACAAGGACTCTCGATATAATGCACTCTAGCTCTTCCTTCGCTTCTTTTGGCTTGGATAGAACAGCAGTGTTTAGGATATGCAGTCTAGATGTCTACCTCAAAGCAGGTCTGGCAAAATACGCCTGGTGGTGTATTGACTTTGCCAGCCATGACTTTAAATGTCCTTGACTTGAATATTGTCACAGCTTGTTCAAAGAAACAGTGGTTACTAGAGGTTAAATTGACAATTAAAAATTAGTGTGCAGCTGTTTGAGTTGGCAGTCTGGTAAGAAGCAGTAAAGTGCTAAAGTCATGTTTTTATTGTAGAATTTCCATTTGGACAGCTCTGTATAGTTTCCCCTCTGATAGCGTGATCACCATACATGCCCAATTTGAGTTGGGAAAATAAACACACAGTGTAACTGTGGATTGTTGAAAGAAAATGGATGAGGTGTGTGAAATACCTTGAAGTTGATGAAAATGGAAACTCTTAGTTGGACTGCTTCCTGCCCTTCCAACACACCCATGAACCACACACACTCAGTGGGACTAATAAGGCACATGCAAAGAAAGTCTCTCCCACACATAAGAAAGCATATAGTCATTTTTGACGCACGCATTCTTACACTTTGGGTGTTGGGAATTAGATTTTGTAGTTGCCTCAGCAGTTGAGATTTTTAGAGTTCAGTCTCTGGCAAGAGCAGCACAAAATGATCCACCCCCGCACTTTCTTCCCAAGCCTGCCTGCTGCAGTTGATCAAACCCTCTTACTCACTGTCTGCTGGACTTCCTTTGAGCTCAGAGCAACTTTTTGTCATAGAGTCCAAAACAGTCCACCCTCTTCATGTTGTCAATAACATAGTAGAAGATGGCAGACAATGTTGGATAACAGGAGGGTGCACCAGCCGTGAAGTTAGCCATGTGAAGTTCCCTGCAGCTCCTGTGAGGGAATCTTACCAGCTATGTCCCTTTTCTCTTTTCAGCCTGTTTTTGGCATCACTCACTCATGTTTTTCCCCTCTCGCACATCTCTTTCTGCCTCTTCCCTGCTGTTGTTCCAATGTTATTAGGTCTTTGCACTCTATTAATCCATTAATGTTTCCTTGTTATAATTCTGGTTTAAGCAGGGGATTTCTCTCCAAATAATGTTCATGATTGTTTACCAGAAAGCGTGCGTCAGTGAACAGTTCATCATATTGTTATGCAGTAAAAATTTTACGCTGTAAACTGTTGGGAGCGTTGCATCACTCTAAGCTCTATGGAGAGGTGTGTAGAGGTTGAGTCGTGGGGCAACCAAAGACGATAACACCACGCACCACAGAAGAGCTTTGAGTGGATTTGAGTTGAGAGAAGCCTTTTGAACCTCTATCCAGTTCCTCCCCAGTCCTGCTTCTGTCTCCATCCCAGAGGTTGTGGTTCTCTAAATAATGCCAAGCAGGATATTTAAGTGCCAGTGTTCTCTGCATCTGATGCCAGATGTAATTCATTTCATTTACACTGACGCATTTTGTATTCCGCTGCGCTGACAAGGAAAAAACATGAAAAATGAAGACTGTCAGGGTGAAATATTTGGTTGGCATACGTCTGTGAGACGTTGAAATAACTAGGTCAGTATGAGTGGCATCAAAACATACATAAACAAATGTTTGTGTTCAGTCGAGCAGTTTGAATTATCATGCGTCATCCATTAAAGTGTGTGTGTGTCTGCGTGTGTATGTGTTGCCCAGAAGAGTTACGGTGCTGCAACTTAGCACTCTGTTAACATGAACTCAGCTATGACTGTTGAGCCTCACGGGAACGGTTCAGTCAGTGCTGTCATCTTCGAGCTCTGCTGTTTTCTCAGTCTCGTAACTCTGACACCTCCCCCCAGAAACCCTCTGTCATCCCCGCAAACACACACACACACAGTCGCACATATTCCAGCTGAATCAACAGCTGCACCATTGCAGCGAGATCCAGGAAACATGCCTCTACACTGTCGACTGCTGCTGTGCAATACATACTAACGCAGTCACGTGTTTTAAATGGATGTGCCATCTTTGAGGACATTTACTTAATGATATCCTGTGTTATGTTACGCACACATCTGCACGCACAGCTGCAAACCACCAAGAGCTGATCATGTCAAGGTCGTGCCATGAAATGTTGTTGGAGCCACAGTCATTTTTGTATTCATTTCAGAAAGGCTAGGGTGGCAGAATAGAGTGGCTGGAATGGTAAATATATAGGTTACTTAAATTTGTGCAAATATCTTCACCCATTTGAGAGGCATTTGCTAGCCCCTTCATAAATAAACACCATCCACCCTTTAAAATGGTGTGTGGTCTGCCAGAAATCAGTCCCATCTGCAGGACCCTGCCAAGAACAGCAACGCTGGACAGGAAACAGGTTTCTCTGAACAAAGCCCTTTTTACAGAAAAAGTTAGGGTATAAGCCATAATGTCTTTTTTTTTTCTTTTCTTTTTTTAAAATCATAAGCCTTCTACTTTGCTTATTTTCTGTGCTCCATTGTAGTTTCTGCGTAGCTTTAAGAGAGTGAAAAGTACATTTCCATTTACAGTGTCATTTTACTCGCTATCAGTCATCTGGCTTTAGTTGCACCATTGCCACTGCAGTTTCTGTTACCTCTGGGAGCTTGCTGCAGTCTTATGTTTCTTTCATATGTGCTTTTAAATTAAAGGCCTTCATGACAAATCCAGACACGCATGTCATTGCCACAGGAGAGGGATTTGTAAGAACAGAAGTTACAAAAAACACTTTTAAAATTAAAGGAAAAAGTTAAGGGATAATTTGTCTTTATCGCCGGGAACAGAATGTCCTTTAATGCTGCTTGTGATGCATCCAGCTGGTGTGAGCATGTGATTCAGACTGCGAAGAAAAGTTTGCATTCAGCTACAGGGGTGTTTGTGATTTATTGTCCTTTCTCACATATACCAGACGTCAGTGGGTGGGTGTCATGTTGTAGATTAGCTGCTTGTGCCCGAGGCTTGTTTGAAACTCACTAACATAAAACTTGTCAGATTTTGGTTTCAGGCTTGACTTACACTCTGTGTAAAACCATTTTGAGTGAATACATGGATAATGTTGTTGCAGCACTTGTAAAAAATCCTGCATCAAAGAGGAATGGGAAGGTCTCCAGTAAGACAGTAATGGGTGATCATTAGCAGCATGCTAAAGGCCAGATCTGTTTCCAGCTTAGACCCTTTAATGATACCAGAATAAATTCCTTACAGAAATAGTTGAGCAAGATTATCTGAGAAGAATTTGCCTTTATTTTCATTGCACAACATGTACATTGCACTCAGTAGACACTGCAAGTAATCGCAGAACCACGAGAAAGATAAATCACAAGGAGGACTGAAAGCTTAATTTTTTTTACCCTTAGATGATGATAATTCTAAAAAGATATGCAACTTGGGTCAAGAGTTTAAGAGGGAGGGAAGAATATAACAATACATCAGTAAGTTTTTATTGAGTTGTTGTTTTGTTTTTCTTGAGGAATGCAGACACTCGTGAGAGGAACTTTACTTACCTCTAAAAGGAGCCTATAAAATAAACCCATAGATGCCATCGCTTAATAAAAGTTAAAATTCTGACTTCAGGGTACTAGGTTTTCACATTTTTATGTGTGAAGGTGTAGGAAATCAGTGAGGCCTGAAAAGGGCCGTCAACCCTCATCGGCTTAGAATATACAGCTCAGCTGTAGCGTAAAGCGAAACACACATCAGGCCTTTGGAAGCTGGCTCTCTGTTTTACAGGTGCGTGTGACTGGCTGTGGATAAGCTGTCAAACTATGTTGTTGATGATTTCAAGAAAAACCCTTCAACATGTAGAAAAGCAGACGGAGGAGTTTATGAGCTTCCCTTTCTGGTTTGTGCCTCAGTTAGCAATAGAAGCTGTACTTTTGTCTTTAAAAAAAAAAGAACTGGCAGATATAATTTAATAATCTTTGAGAGGACAATGAAAGCTGTGAATAGTTGTAGCAGTACTAATAAGCCTAACATCTAATTTGACTAGGGAGCACTGATGGATCTTAATGCACCCTTTCTCCCATTTGAATTACAATATGTGGCTTATGGCTTAATGCACTGGACCACTAAGGAATATTAAGTGGCAGCCGCTGCTCATGTAATGTGTTGAAGCGGGCCTCTGGTGCTTGATCACGTAGTTGAAACAGAGAATTTCATATCTTCTCCATCCCGAAAACACAAACCCCTGGAAAGTATTAAAACAAACATAAGACCACGGGACATTTCTGAAAACAAGGATGGAGCACATTGAGGACAAAGCCATTAGGAGACGGAGAGAGCACATCTGATTTTTTTTTTTTTTTTCCCCTCCATTAATATCAAGTACTTCTCACGACTGGCAGTTCAAAAGGCAGCCGTTATAGATTTATAGGCAGGAGGCCAAGCAAGGTAACTTCCTCCTGGTGGAGAAAAAAATAGGAGCGAATGCTGGCAGCCTCTTGACAGCTCATTGTACTTTCTTTTGCTACCTGCTGTCCCCCCTTCTCCAGTGATATATATATATATATATATATATACATCGATCATCATACATTGATATTGCCTATTTTCCACGCTTGAGGCCAAAACAGCCTTCATCCATTGATGCATGGACATAATCAGGGACTTTTGAGGGTATCCTAGTGCTGTCTGCCACCACAACATTAGCAGAGGAATTTTTATGCTTTATTGGCATGTTCCTAAGGAGTTTCTATGGAGTTGTAGGATGCATTAGCCTGCTTATGCAATTGACATGCACCTAGCAGACAAATAGACAAAGTAGCATTCATTTGAATGCCATGACCAAAGGACTGCTAATATTCCGTTGTAACAAAAAATATCACTGTTATTCCCTTTCACCGTGAGTGTTTTTTCTTATAGCTGACCAGTTCTGTATACAGATTTGTCACGGGGCATGTTATGCATTGCAAAGCCAAGTGACTTATAAGTTTAATCCTCTGTGTGTGTGTGTGTGTGTGTGTGTGTGTTGGGGTGGGAGGAGTTGGGCGTCGATCAGAATCTGAGCAGTTTTTAATTGAACGGAGTCACAACTCCTCGTGTTTTCAAAGTCACCCAAATTAGTGCTTGCTAATACAGCTGATCTAATTAAAATCTCCAAAAATCCACATAGTGTCTCACAGTGATCTATATAATAGTATAATTAGAAATAAATCTGAAAAACACATTTACAAACTTAGAAGTTTAGTTCAGTATGTTGCTGTAAAACTATTGTAATTACTGCCAAGACAGAAGTCTCAAAGTTCTAATTTAGTAGGGTTTTTTTGTCTGCTAATACACAACCAGTACTGATATCTGTGAAAATCTAATGCCAGCTCTCCTTCATTCTGTTTCAGATCATGGATGAGACCCAAACGCAGATTGCCTGGCCTTCTAAACTGAAAATTGGAGCAAAGTCAAAAAAAGGTGAGGTTTCCCCGCTTTTTATACCAAACTCTTCCTATACTGTTGCTTGTTACTTTTGGGGGGCTTAATGTTGAGCCTATAGGATGTATGGATATGACGAGCTCTATATGTTAACTTTGTTTTGGTTTTCCATCTGAAAAAACGAATCAAAAAAAAAAGGTTAATGGTTATGAGTCAGTTTGTTGTAACCAGAAAAATGTTCTTTGCAAACTCGGTGGGGTTGGGTGGACAAAAAGGGGAGTATTTCAAGATTGCACTAGCATTGGTTATTAAAAATTTAATTGAAAAGATGAAAGCATTGCATGTTTTCTGTCCCTCGCAAGGCAGTAACCTCATCTTCATGGAGGAATTTTTTTCAGATTTTTGCTGCGGAGGTGGAGGGGTGGGAGTTGGTTGCCCACGCATTTATTGCCCAAGTTGTTCCAGCGCTCTGTTACCAATAAAACATTATCACGGTTATTTAAAGCTCTTCCGGGAGGGAGTGAGGCCAGGTTTGAGGGCGAGGAGTTGGTGTAGCGATGCCCACTTTGGCAGTTCTCCTGAGGAAAACAATGCGCATCTTCAAGCCAGATGTGCAATCCAGTGAGATTATGTAACTTCCTCACTCATTCTTTACGGATAAAAAGTTGACGCAAACACATCAGAATATTAAACACTTTTCCCTCTGGCTGTTTAATCAGCTGTAGGTTCTACGCAGTTCATTCGCACACAACCATCCATTCACCCCAAGTATTAGTTCATTCAGAAAACCTGCCTTTGACGGCACCTGGGAATGATGATGTGAACAAAAAAAAATGTAAGTTTTTGGCGCATGATGTTAGATTTTTCCCCGGTGTTGCGTAAACCGAAAGCAGCAGAGGGTAAGAGTGTTATATAATCACTTGGTTATCTTATGCATTTTTCTGGGGGGGGTTGAAACTGCCCATCTGCTTTAACCACTTGGATCCTGGAATTGAGGGAAGAGGAAGGGACAACACAGCAAAATAGAGTTCATTTCACTTACCACATCAGCAATTCTGTAAACTTCAGGAAACAAAGAAACACAGATGTTTATCCACCTTCTATTGAACACAAAATTAGTCCAACACAAAACTCACCTGCTCTGCTCTTGACAGAAGATGATGGAGCAGATTATGTTCCGTTATTTTTATCTAAAATCACACTCTTTAATAGCATTAGCTTTCCTTGTTTCCCTGGAACTTTCATGTGCAGTCTGGAATTGATTACACTCGGTGGGATAGCAGCAGATGTGAGGGGATCTGTATGTTTTGTAACCTCTGCGTATGCCGAGCCGCACTTCATCAAAATGCCAGCTCTGCTGTTTCATTCATCACCTGCAGCTAGCCATCTCTACCGCCTGCATAGGTGCGATAAGGCAAGTTGGTAGCCTCTGGGACAAGCCGTCATCAGCACCTAGCCTGCAGTTTATCATAATGAGGAGCCATATCGCTCATGCACAAGACATGTACGTGTAGCAATATAAGGACACCGGAGTGGTCAGTGTTGGTTTATTGACGTCTCAGAAAGTCTCATTTTTTTGTTTTTTTTCCATTACGGATAATTGTTTTAAAGCTACTTCCAGTTGCCAGTTGTGTTTCACTGTTTCCGCAGATGTTTTGAATGAGGAACGCTAAGCCAACAGGATTTTAATTCTCTTCATTTGTGTGGTATTTTCTAATGCAGTCCTTCGCTGGAAAAATGCTTCAGCTTTGCCAGGCCAGAGCTCTGGGTCAAAAGGTTTCTTCTCTGTCAAGTGGAACAATAAAAATCTGTGTGACTGAAAACATTCACCTTTCACAGCTACAGGTCTACTCTTGTTTTTGTTTGTTTTCATAGGTGTTGTGTGTGCCAAATTAGGACTTAAGGTGTTCTTTTTTTATATACATATATATTCTCAACAATCATTCATCAAATACAAAATGGGGGGGGTGGAGAAAAAGCACAGAGCACACACCACTTCAAAAATGCGGGGGTGTTCTGCATCACGACTGCGGCACTCATTTAGGCTGGCTAATGTTTGCCAGATGTGCTGTGCAGGTTGGAGTGGGGACACTGAAAGGGCCATACTCCCTCTAATGGTTACAGGAGGAAGTTGAGTGATTTCTGTTGTTCACAACAGCTGAATGATGGGAAAATTCCCTGGAACGGTGCTGAGGTTGTGATAGATCTCTGACCACTCTTTGTGCTTGTTTTTTTCTCTGTTTTGTTTTCCTGTCTGACTTCAGCTTTTTTTTTTCTTTTTCTTTTTTTTTTGTGAGTTCTTAACCCTCAAACAGTCTGAGCTGTTGTTCCTCCCTCCTGTGATGCAGCATCTTTTGGAGTCTTGACGTTGTCCGACCCTTTTGGCACTCTTAACAAGATCTGTGCTTGTTTGTTGATGCATATCAAACTAATAACATTTGCTTCCTTTGTAAATACAAAAAAGAAACTACCCTGACTGTTTTCTTTTCTATGCTTCTCATATTTGACCCATGCAGGACTTTTCACTCCTAAGCTCCTTGGAAGACTAAACACGCTAGCACGAGTTTCTCTAAGTTCCCGGTGACTTTGTAACAATAAATGTGCTTCAACGAGTCCTGTCTGAGGACTACGCTGTACATCTGTGATCCTGTGTTTGTGTGTGCATGGTTAGGAGTGTTCCTGGAAGGGGGCTTTGTGGACTTCCTGCTGCTCGGTACAGTTAACACGTGGGCGATGGACCGTGGACGTGTAGTACATGAATGTGTGCAACTGAACACACTCGCACATATTTGTGTTTTTGTGTTTGCATTCTCCGGGGGTCCTGCTTGCAGCAGTGCCAGATGTATTCTTACCCAATGCTACACAGACAAAACCATTAGCTGTGAAAGGTTTAGCTATGCAGTGTTTGTGCTGAGAAGCTGAGGAGGCACAGTTTATTCACTGCTTGGACATTTCTTGCATGATCTTTTTGTGGTTGCTGAGTGTATTTACTCAGAAATTTTAAATGCTTCAAAGTGGTGTGTTTATCACTAGTTTGCATTCGGGTAAACACCACTGGGTCTTGGAGTGACTGCTAATAAACACCAGAATACAGTCAGTGATCTTTAACAGTATTTGAGAAAGAAGTTGAAGGAGGTTGACAGAATGAGGTTCAGAAAAGAGAAGGTGAGGGTGTCTGTCTTCTATTTAGGCAAAATTGCAGCTCAAGATCTTGTTTTTTTGTTTTTAACAGCTCATAGTTTCTTGAGATTGCCTGAATGTAATTCCAGAGTTGCTCCTCTTCCCCAATCACCACATGGCATTTGCTTGCCAATGAAAATGAGACTCGGCAGATATAAAAGCGGCAATTACTGTCACACAGCTTTTGTCCGACGCACTGTAATTTGTTGACAAGTGGAGACTTTTTGTGTCATATTTGGATTGAACTTGTCACATTCTGCCTCTGCTCATTGTCAGCACCAAGTCACGCACATAGCATACTTCTACAGACGTTAAACACATGCCGTCCGCCTCGTTTTTAACGTCTGCCCGTCTCTTCTTTCCTTGCCAGATCCACACATCAAGGTGTGCGGGAAGAGGGAGAATGTAAGGGAAGCCAAAGACCGAATAATGTCTGTCCTCGATACAAAGGTAAAGAAAACACCTTCATCACAGTGATTAAAAAAAACTTCCTTTGTGTATAAACAGGCAGCTCTCTCCCAGTCTTCTGTTTCCTGCTGATGGTGTTTCTCACTCATCTGTTATCAGGTTTATTTCACCTGAACTCTCCCGCTGACCAAGTGACAGCAATCAACTTTCCACTAATCAATCCCAACACCCAAGTCTTGAGTTTCTCAGTTTTGCAGTGTGTGAATGCAGGCTTCGTTGCCATGACAGCAAAATAATTCACATAGTTGGGTGACTGGGCTCTAGCACACCCTAGGGGCAAGAAGTCGCTTGTGCACTTTGTACAGCAACCCCCACGGAAGAGCTGCACCCAACTGGCATTGTTTATAGCATTTTATATGGTTTTGTCATGAAAAGGCCTTTTTTCCCCCCCTGGAATACACAGAATTATTTCATAATTTTTATTTGCTTTATTCGTTTTTTTTAATAAACAGCATATTTTGATGCTTTGATTCTGTTCTAAATGAGTGCAGCATGTGAGTATGTTTTTTAAAGAGTGGAAAATTGTAAAAATAATGACTTTGTGACTGTTTAGATGGCGTAAAGGGGGACACATGTTCAACAGGCCTTTCAGTGAACCAGGATTTACAATCAGAGAAATAGCAGGGGAATCAGGGAATCTTGGACCTCTTTGTTGTTTAATATTGTAAGGTATTTACTTTACAGTGTCTTAAAATGCCTCGAATATTGCTGGTAATTGGCAATCTATAAATACAACTAAAAGAAATTAAAATATCACCAAAAAAGCAAGAGGTCTATTAGCTTTTTTGTTTTTTGTTGAACACACAGTTGTAGCTCGGGGAGACTATAAACTCCACAGTATGTACCAGATGGTTGCTTTACCCATGGGCCGGATGGGTGTATTTACTAGAAATATCTTTATTAGTGCAATGCTGTAAATGCAGTTTTGTTTTGCTTTTTTCCTTTAGTTTATGTACAATGTTCTGTACTTTTCTCACCTCACTGATATTTTTCAAGGGTTATCAGTCATCTTCTCAACCCCTATCGCTCTTTCTTCTCATTAGAGTAACAGGGTGACTCTGAAGATGGATGTTTCCCACACAGAGCATTCACACGTTATTGGCAAAGGAGGCAACAACATCAAGAGGGTGATGGAGGAGACGGGGTGTCACATCCATTTCCCAGACTCTAACAGGAACAACCAGGCAGAGAAAAGCAACCAGGTTTGAACCTTTTCTTTAATGTCTTGGATCACTGCACTGCATTCTGCTGCCCAGAGTGTTTCCTACCATCGTCCCTTAAAAACGGATTTTCTTAGGTTTCAGGTTCTAAATAACTCTTTGATCCGTGTATGCAGCCCTCCAATCCATTTACTAGCTGTCACGGGGTCTCAGTCTGGACAGGTTGCAGAGAGTTGGTTCACTCAGGTGTTTTGATTGGCCAGCTCAGAGGAAGCCAGCATGTTTTGGCTGGCCTCACTAGAATAGCACTAGGATCCTGCTGTAATTACCATTAAAGTATAGTAAGAGGAGTTGAGGAGAGGTCCAAGCATTAGATATCTGCTCTACACCTGTGTATGAAAGAACTGACAAGTTCTTTATTTTCAAAGGTCTACTCACCTTACTCTTACGGTTTCTCTGTGGGCTTTGCATAAAACAGTTTGCACTTATTACAGATGTAGATGGTTAAGCTACTCCCCTCAGAACTCTGTATTTTGTGCATTGCTCAATCCCCTCCAGTCTGATGATGCAAGTATGGGCTGATAAGCAGCAACACTCTCCTTTTAGGCCCTTTAAGCTGTGTCTGTTCTCCGGTATCAAAAGCTTTGAGTCTGCATCAGAGCCTTTGAGAGGGCAGGCATATTGACAGTACAGTTTTATTGATGAGCACACAGTACGTTACTGTGAAACTCAATGAAGGGGCTACTTTTGATTCTCAGTAAAGCGGATGAGCTTCAGAATATTGTTGAATCACACTTAAGCAAAGCTTTTTTTTTATGTTAAAATCTACAGTGCAAGTGTATATTTGAAGATTTTCTTCAGAGGCAGATAGCAGAGGTGAATTAGAGTGACCTGCTTTGTGTTGATTTAATTTTCTTTTTTTGACAGCAACAATTAAACTTTATATTTGTTTTGGCACTGTAGCTCGGTACCGTGCTTAAGGTCTTTCATGGATAGCGCTGCTGAGTCGTCTATAGAGTGAGAAACGAGGATCAGAACGGAAAAAGCTAATGAGATCATTTATCACCCTTTTCATTAGTCTTTAAATTTAGTTCATCTGGTCTCTCTTTTTGGTGGTTATGCTTAAAAATTACTTGGTTAAATTTGCAGGGTTGTTTTTACATTCACAGTGAATTTCATCATTGAGCTGAGCAGATTCATGACACGATTCAAAACATTGCCTGCAAAGATGTCACAATTACATGAAACCGTATGCAAAGTACCTTAGTCTTGTATTTATCTTGGAGTGCGGGGGAACTGGATGACTGATTTACATCATTTACTTTTTATTATGAACAGGTGTCCATCGCAGGGCAGCCGGGCGGGGTGGAGGCAGCTCGAGTAAAAATAAGGGTAAGTTGGAATTCAGCCACGTTTGTCTTTGAGGGATACTCCACCCATAATTTTGAGTATCAAAGGCACATTCCCTGCAGACTGTTAAATTTGCACTTTTAACCTCCGTGGAGCAGACCGACTGTGCTCAGTTTACATTTCTGAAAGTTGTCGCTGATTTTAGTGCTGACCAGTTTCTTTAAGAATAGATTTCAATGTTATTTTGTAGTGCAGAGTTCAGCCAGATTGGACTGTTTTTAACAGAAAATCACAAGGCTGCCTAATCCATCCCACTTGATGGAAGGATTGAGTTGTTGATTGGGAAATGTTGATTTCTCATGATGTAAAAAAAAAAAAAATGGTGAGAATGAAGGATTTTGCTCAGCTGTACTAAGTAACAGCAACTGCAAGTACGAGTGTGTGTTTGAAAAGATGTATAACAAATAATAAGAGTATTGCCCTAAATTTACCTCCACCTATGCCATTTCCTGTTTTCTCTTTGCCTTTGGCCGCTCCACCTGAGTACATTTGACCTGGCAAAATTTCAGTTGGACTGCAGTATCCAAGTGTCCATGTCTTGTTCCTCTGGTCAACTTGGTCTCTCCAGCTTGTGTCATCTGAAATACTATTCGATAATTACTTGACATGAAGTTAAAACAATTAAGGACAAAAGTTTAAGACAAGAAATAGTCACATAAACTAGATTTTTAAGAATATTCTAAAGAACATTTGAAAATGTGTAAATCATGACCATGCTCAAGAAAATGTCAAAATTAGAACAGTCGAGTCAAGTCGCTCACCTAATCCTTCAGTGGAGAAGCTCCAACCTTTACAGTAGGTAAATATGTGGCCCAGGCATAGTTTCAACACTTCGTCTAAGCCACAAGCACCATTCCCTACTTATTCCCAGTCCACTTCCCAAGAACTATTGTAAAATAAAAGCACGAGCAACACTCCCTCTGGCAAGTCTATCTCAAACCCATTTTCTAGCATTTTTTCCATCTTCAGTTTCATTCTGACGGGAAGCCACAACCTTCAGCTTCATCTCTGAGAGCAAAAAGACCTCGTGTGCTTGTGTGACCTACTACATCTTTAGACTTTTACTTTATTTCAACACCACAGCAGTGAGCACATTCCTCCGCTATGAACTGACCAAAACTAACATGGCGATGTGTGCTTTTGAGAAAGACGGAGTGAGTGTGTGCTGGAGGGAAAAGACAGGAAGACAAGGTCACGCTGGATGTTGTTGCAGTGCGTACTGGCAAATGTCTGCATGCATGTACCCATATCTCTCCATGTTTAATGGGTGTTTTCATAAGCAACAAATCAAATCCCAGATCGTCTGCTTTCTTTGCTATGGATGAGGGGAAAAGAATAATCAAACCGAACCATACCAGTGTTGTACAAAGAAGTTTATAAGCTGCAAAGAACCACAAAGATTTTTGTGTCCTCGAGAGAAGATGCAGTCAGCGGACAAGTGAGCTGAATAATAAGAGTTTCCTCTCCTGTCTGTCAGCTTGGTTTCTTTCAGTGGAAACCTTGATACTAGTCCTGGAATAGCCAAACATATTGTATGTGTTGTCAACAGTGTTATAAATTTGACATCCAGTTTAAGGCAGCTGTCGATGAAGGAGTGTTATAGTTTGTGCTCGGGCATGATTAGCGATCAGGCTACATGCGCCCACTTCTTAAAGCAGATTAGGGCACGGTTCGCTTGACCGCACCGTGGCACAGAGCAGTCACGCTACTCAAACAGACGGGCACAGTACAGATCGCCTAACATTGTATAAATTTCATCTGGTCAGCGTTAGCTTCACACTGAAAATGTCAACATACTTTAGATGTTTACGTGGTATACCTGCGTCCTGTAGTCATCACCGACTTGGATTGCATCTCACCAAACAGAATATTTATACAAAGCCTTGCACGTGCCATCAGAAGCTGTATCCCTGTTTGCCTGGAGACAAATCAATGGCTTGATTTAGTTTTGTTGACATCTTTTATAATGTGTTAAACTGCTACTGTAGTTACTTTATCTTGAGGTGGAGTTTTTCCCCTCTCAACACCTCGCCCTGTCCCGCCTCTCTTATCCCCTCTGAAAATATCTCGAAGTGTCTACATTTTAATTTAGTTTTAGCCATTTGACTTTTTATATTGTTTATATTTTCATAATCTCCTCTCCCCAGTGCTCCTGTGGCTCATTTTTCCATTTCCAGCTCTGACAGTCTGCTATACTTCTTTTATTTGGTCAGAAAGTTGGATCAATATTTTAAAAAAATCACAGTAGAGAGGGGAAAAGGGGGGAAAAACGAACCATGATGAAGTTTTTCTGGTATCAAGTATTTTTGTTGCGCCAGTGTTTATCTTTTCAGTTTCACATCAGTAATTCTGGTTTGGATTAAACTCAAATGTCAGAAGGTCCAGACAAAACAAGCCAGGTGTGTAAACACACTCAGACTGATTATTGAAGGGCTAATCCTTTTTTTTTTTTTTTTTTCCCCTACATTTGGTGTGAAGTCAGCACGTAATTCATCACCCTGGATCTGTTAAAATATAAAGGAAAACTGTCCTCCACGTTTTCTAAAGCCCACTAAGTGCCAGAGCTTGTCTAATTTCTTAAAAGTTAATTGTTAAGATAACCTAAGATGCATTTCTGGGCTCACCGAGTGGCATCGATCTTGAGAGAGGGGGAAAAAAAGTGGACTCGACAGTTCTTTCGAATCTTTTTTTTTTTTTTTTTTTTTCGCTGATTTTAGTGCTGACCAGTTTCTTTAAGAA